ATTTTTGAATATCTATATGTGCACATTTCCTGATGATATATAGAAATAACGGATCATGCGTACTTTTGAACTTGTCTATTTTAAATAAGCATTCGTGAACTCTATTTAAAAGAAGAAAAATATAACACAATTGTTTCAGTCCTAAATGTTATGCATTAATTTTTAGTATTTATTGTATACCACAAATATCCCTTTTCTATCCTCTTTTTCTTTTGCACTGAAATTTGATGGGTTGGTGTAGATTACTACATTTCTGAACATCATTGTATCTTTTTGCGTTGCTCTAATGAACTAGCTAGATAACATGCATGGACAAATCCATATATTGCTAATTTTTGTTGCAGCTGAATTACCAAAAACATTCAAGATTTGTTATTACAACACATAGCATATGGCCATGGCCGTGCAATTTTGCATGCTGTCTGGATGGTTGGTATTGTCTAAGAGCTACGTGGAAAAATAAGACCTAACCCAGAAAACTGGCAAAAATACCCTCTCCACACTTCTCTTTTCCTGACATTTTATTTTTTGTCTTTTGCTCGTGCCTGCGTTCCTTGTTTGAAATAAAATATATGTTTTTTCTTGTGTTCTGTTCTTTCCCTCACTAACCTAATTCAGCACTGGCAGTAAGTATGATGGAAAAATCTTTTCTTTCCCTCTCTGCTTCTGGTATTGTTTGCATAGGCGTGTGTGTGTGTGTTTTTCAGGTTCTAAATTAAAGGCATTCCATTTTTAAATAGATCATTAAAGGGGTATTTTTTAACTTTTAGAATTAAATGTTCCAAAATAACTTTTGTATTGTGGCACGAGCCAAAACTACAGAGCTAGTTTATATATAGACTGTGCTCAGCGCATGTTTGGCATATTTTAGAGTGATTACAGCTTAGCATGACCTGCATTATGATTAAATTAAAAGCATACAAGTGGGACACTTGCTCTGTTCAGCTTCACTAACAGACATCACATTTCATGTAAGGTAACTCAGAATGAATTTTATCTGTACTACTGCCTCCCTGGAGTATTGCTGTGGGGTGAGGTTGATTTAAAGCAAGGCTGATTGCAGTGGAATTTTTTTAATATATAACAATATTACACAAAACCATATGCCTAGGTATATGAAAACATACTATATACATCTTTATTCCTACAGTATGCACAGTAGACTTCTAGCCTCCTGGAAAATGTTGTAGGAAATGAGGATTATACTGCTTAAACTAAAATACTAATAAACAACTTGATCTTCTAACGTACAGAGACAAGCAATGCTGGAATTATACTTTTAGCTGTAGGATATCTTCCGAGATAGGAGAAACATAATTGCTGTGAATGTAACATTTTAGCAGAGGAAATCTTTTAAAAAAAATAGAAAAAAAATGGGCAACAAGTACATCCTTCACTCACTACCTTACTGACAGACATGCAGAATGCTGTTAATTTTTCCAGTCATATAGGCACAAAGTGACAAGACGTACACTGTACGTCTCCCGTCACGAAGGGGTTAATAGCATTCGGACAGGAAGTTGAGATCATATTCAATGCTGACCCCTAGGTTCATATTCAGGGCCAAGCGGAGAGTTCAGCTCATCACAGAGGCTGCTTTTCACTTGCATTTCTCTGTCAATATGTGTTAGTATTCAGGCATTAAGGCATTAATTAAATGTAGGGGGCCCAATATTTTCCTCTCTT